GTCATGCTCTTGTGGCTGAGTCTGATCCCTTATTTATTCACCAGACTGTTTCTTTCTTGACTCGTGGCAGGGGGTGGTGGTCCTGGTTTGGGGTTGGATCGGAAACCGGGAGGTGCGGCAGGTTCAACCAGTGATTCTTAACTTCCCTTGACGACTTGTTGAGATGATAAATGAGAAGGAAAGAACACGCACTATGCTGGAGAAATACTGGGAATTAAGAACAGTGCCTTCCTCCCTTTACGCTTACTGTTCTTTCATATAGTTTGCCTCTTAATGTTCTTTGCCACATAAGCAATCCTATACATTCATTCACACTTACTCCCATAGTAGGTATGGAATGGCAGTTACAGACTCAAATCCTAAATTTACATACAGTCTTATTTACACTGGGAAATAAATCCCATCTTGTCAAATGGGGCTTCATTCTGTATGAATATGATTATTGACTACTGGGAAGTAGACATCACAGAACTCATTGGGACTTATATTTTGGACTAAGCATGCTTAGTTCTCAACTTGTTCATGCTGTTCTTTCCCCCAGATTTCTACTTTCTGCCATACGTCTATCACTGGCTGTATCTTCTCTCCCAACTGGTAGTCCCTTGGCCTATAGTCCCAAACCTTCCAAAAGTGCTGATTGTTTGTTTTTTTTTGTGCTCCTGTCTTGCATATATCTAAGTTTAAATCTATAAATATTTCCTCTGCTTTTTTTAGATGTTTCTGATTGCTTTTGCTCAATATGTAATTTCTTTCTGTATGAACTTTCTAGTTTTGCTTCTTACAATGTACACTCTGTGCTGTTGTACAGAGGGTTTATGTCTGACTCTGTGATAAACTTGTTCTAAAAGTGTTGAATAAGAGTGTGTTTCCTCGTGATGCATTTTGCACTAGAAGTAGAATAAAGCAGGGTCAAAAATAGGAAAAATATCCAAAAAATGACAAATTCATGTTTATTTTGTGTCTCATACAATGTATCTCTTAGTATTCAGAGTTGCCTAAATGTGATTCTGTACCAAAATATCCTTGAATATTTTGTTTGTTTGTTTTTCCAGATTTAGGGAACAGGAATGGACCGTGAGAAGAGAAAATTCATTCCAGATATAAAGTAGCTCCTCCTTTTGTCTGCCCAGGTCCCCCTTGGCAATACAAGGTTTCTGCTTTCAGTAAGTATAGTCTCAAATTTATAGATGGAAACTTATTTTCAAAGCAGAAAACTTTGATGTGGACAAGGATACTGATAATACTGCCAGCTGTTGTTAATGGTTATAGTCCCATGAAGCTGCATTTGTCTCTTCAACCAGTCCCTTGGCTTGATTATTTTAAATATGACAAATGCTGCATTGTGATTTATTTTGTCTTTTTTATTATTCCTTTATTGAATGAATGGATTTTTAAATAGCCCACGAGCAGCACTTCTCTAATTTGTGGGCAATGTGTTGAAAATATAAAACTCTTCAGAATGCAACAGTGCTGCAGTAAAATAATGATTCAAGGAGATTCATTTATTGTATTAATTATTAGGCTATTACAAATCTATATTGAAATATGATGTTAAACTCATTTATTAGAAAGTAATAACATTCTTTAGTATTTATTGTTATTCATTTAGTCTTACCTTACCTGTCCGCTAAAAGATGGTGCTTCAAGGTGGCTTACAAAAAAGATAAAACCAGATTTTTTATGAATCGTATAACCAACACCACTGTAAAACAATTAAAGTAAAGAAGGATATAATTAAAACAGTACTGCAGGGCAGATTATGATATGGCAGTCTTTAAAATGTGCTTTTCCACCCTTCTTTACTCAAATTGGAGTGTATTTCACAGTCTAGGAGCCACGCAGTAGAAGGCTCTCTCCTGAGTGATTGATAGATGGGCCTCTGAAACTCTTGGCATCTTAACAGAGTCTCTCCTAAAGATCATAAAGTGCAGACAAGCCCATAATGAGACAGGCAGTCCTTCAGATAGCCAGGCCCCAAGCAATTTAGGGCTTTAAATGTATTTAATTTGACCCAGAAAGGATCTGATAACCAACTTATGTCTTTGAATATTGAGGTCATGCGATAATGATACCATGCATCAGTTAACAACATAGTTGTACAAGTTGAAGATCCTGGACCCTCTTCAAGAGTGGCCTCAAACAGAGTGCATTGTAGTAATCAAGATGTGATGTGATTAAGACGTCAATGACTATAGCTAAGGCAGATTGATTCAGGAAAGATTGTAGCTGGTGCACAAAGAGGACTGTGCAAGGGCGCTCCTCATCACTGCTACTAGTTGGGAGTTCAGGAACAGTGAAGGGTGAAGGAGTAGTCCCAGACTCCAAACTTTTCCTGACAGAGGAGTGCAGTCCCTTCTAGAACAGGTTGAATCCCAATTCCCAGGTGTGACTTTCTACTAATTACAGTACTAGTACTTCTGTCTTATCAGGACTTAGTTTCTGTTTTTCACCCTTGCTCAGCCCATTACCAAACTCAGGCAGTTCAAGAGTCCCGACTATTTCCTTGGTATAGGGGGGAAAGGAGCATTAGAGCTCAGTGTCATTGACATATTGGTGTGGCACCTTATTCCAAAGGTCGAAATGGCCTCTCCCAGTGGTTTCATATAGATGTCAAGTAACATAGAGAGTAGAGTGGCGCCCTGAATAATGCCACAGGCCAATGTCCTAATTGAAATAAGTCCAAGTAAGTACTGGATTTGCAGGGCCATCACATTTTATCCAGATATAGTAAATAACATATAAGGCAGCAAACCGTTACTACTTATGAAATTCTTTACATTTCCAATAGCTGAGATGGCTTCAGTGAGGTAGAGGAGGATTCCTGCTTAATCCTTTAAGGAAGTAAATAGATGGTTAATTATTAAAATGTTTATTTTGTTTCTGATGTTCACACAATTTTAGTTTTAAGTACACATACATGCATCAATCTGCTTCACTTATATTCACTTTCAGACCTTTGGCAGATACGGTAAATGCAATCTTTCACACTCACGATAAACCATGTACATGTTTTTAGTAAATGTGCATAGAGATGGGCTGCATGTAAAAAGCTGTTGTATATGCTAATCTGTATACATCTTTTAATTTGAAATTGAGGAAATGACATACCAGAAGATTATATGTTGAATGTTAGATTTAGAACCATCTTTTTCATAGCTGTGGTGTCACTTGATGTTGCTATCTATAATTCCTTAGTAAGATTTTCCTAAAAGTGGTCTGCGCGAAAGATGAGTGCAGTAGAAGGAAAATCCTGTAACTGAGAAAGGAAAATACCTCAAAATGCCAGATGCAAGGGAGGGGCATCAGGAGACAAGTCTCTAGTTGTCTCATGTGCTCCCAGAGGCATCTGGTGGGGCCACAAGAAGCTGGACTAGATGGGCCTTTGGCCTGATCCAGCAGGGCTCTTCTTATGTAACCCAGCTGTTTGGGACACTGTAACACAGGTGGCCTTTTTATTTTATTTTAAGTGACAGATAGGTTAGCCTTAATGGACATGGATCCAGAATTGTGTTTAGTGGAACACTGAATGGGATGACTCTGTGGGTAGAACAAGGAACCTGATTTTTACTTTTTTCTTTTCCTCTCCAGCATTTGTACCCACAAAAAACTGCTCTGAATGGTTAGGAATTCATCAGAATTGACTATGCAGTAGCAATAAGTACCACAGGGGGAAGAAGGAATTGGTGAACATTGCTTCAGTTGGGAGGATTAACTGGATTCTGATTCTTGCCACAAATAAAAGGAGCACTTCAGTTAATGGATGGTCAGCTCTAGATTTGACCCATTGTTTTCAGGGTCATTTATTCTCTGTGCCATAGTCTTTTCACATTTGCAGTTTGAAAGTAAACTTGCAGTTAAGAGCCTGCAGTGAGCACTTCATAAACCACAGCTGTTCAGTTCATTGCATATGTGATGATAATGCTGTCTGCCTGTAGATTGGTCTCTCTTGAAAATTCATAAAAATGTGAAATAAGCACACACAACCTTATTTCAATTTCTTGCTTCAGAGAAGTGTGAAAGGACAAAAGAGAAATGCCATCATTACCATTGCTCTAGCGATGGTTTTATCCCTGTGTCTTGATTCCTAAGAAAACAGGCTGTAATCTATTGGCCTTCCCTAAACACACACACACACAGAGAGACACACACACACAGACACACACACACACACACACACACACACCAGATCTACAGGTTGCAGTTAGCCTTTGGATCACATGTTGCTCATGACTAGTCTGTAATGAAGTATGTTCTTACTAATAAAATCTCAGCTTGTATAGAAATTGTAGTGTCTTTAATATAAGCATAGTTGTAATTGTAGAAGAAGTAGCTGTGTTAATCTGTGCAAACATAGGTAACACAATAAAAACAACAAAAAAGAACAAATCAAATAGACAAAAAGATGGTGGCACCTTAAAGACTGTTATATTTTAATGTGAACTTTTGTGGACAAGTCCTCATGCCTGTACATCTGAGGAAACGGACTTGTTCACAAAAGCTCACATTAAAATATAATAGTATTTAAGGTGCCACTATATTTTTGTCTTTTTATTTGTTCTCTCACTCTGTTTTTACTTGAAATAAACATGTACTCCAGTCTGCTTTCAATTAAGTTTTGGGCCCCATCCCATGAAGTCATGTGTGAGTTTTCTCATGCACTGCATAAGTTTTAATGTGATATGCAACTTTCTTACTATGGAAGAAATACATCCTTATTTGATATATTTTAGTGTAATGTTGTGTATTGCATATTATGTGTTTTACCAGGGTTCTACAGTGCTCAAGACAGCAACTGCTGAATCAGGATGGGAAAAAGACGCTGTGTTCCTCCACTTGAGCCCAAGTTGGCAGCGGGTTGTTGTGGGGTAAAGAAACCCAAGTTATCTGGAAGTGGAACTCACAGCCACGGGAATCAAGCCACAAGCGTGCCAGTCTCTAGTTCAGGTCCTCTTCAGAACCACCAGCATGCAGATGGGGGCAATGGAAGAGAGAATGTATCAGATTTGACTTTATGCCCTGGAAACTCTCCAATTACTCGAATGAATCCCACATCAGGGGCATTGAGCCCACTCGCTCGGCCTAATGGAACTGCCAATAGCACCAAAAACCTAGTGGTGACAGCGGAGATGTGCTGCTACTGCTTTGATGTACTCTACTGTCATCTTTATGGTTTCCCTCAGCCACGACTTCCTCGGTTTACCAATGATCCTTAGTGAGTAAATCCATGGGCATGGGAGGGAAATTGAAAATCCATGGAAACTTGTTATGTTGTAGGATGAGTGGGATGAAGTAAGGATTGTCTGCAATAAAGATAAATTTCTGAGAAAGAAACCATAATACAACTTGATGTTTGTAGAATGGCATAGTGATTGACAGTCAAATTCTTTGCTATGAATGGGTATAGCAGACATAGCTTGATGTGTAGGAGATGGTCGTAGGCCCTACAGAAGTACATTCAAATACTGAATCTGTCAAGGTCAGCGTACATGTAGTGTAACAAATATACATGATAGGATAAGACTACTCTGTCCCCCTTCTGGTTTAAATTCCCATATCTAGGAAAGCCTTAAGCTTGTTTACACTCTATATCTGAACCAGCTCCAATCATGGTTAATGTTACGCATTGTTCAATATTAACCACCAGGGATTGAGATTAATAAAATCTGTTCCAGGCCTTAAAAGATAACAACCTGATGCAGGGGACAATGCTATCTCCAAGTCTAATATGTTGAATCAATATTATATATCCTCTCTGTGAATTTAGCTTTTGCATTTTTAAAATGTGAATGTTCATATTTACAGAACATAGTTTTTAACTGGTTCCATCAAAAGACAATTTGTTCTTTGCCTTTAAAAAAATAATTAAACCCTAGATGGTCATTATGTACCTAGTTCTCAACTGCATGCTCAGGGAGGAGGAAGTAGGCCGTCCCCTGCCTGTTGTCTCTTTCTCTGTGTAGAGAGTGACATGTTTAAAGAGTACAGGTTCTTGTTCACATGTAGGATCTACGCAGAAACAAGAACCCCACTTTTCCTGGGTTCATGCTTGTTTGTAGAGCCTAGACATAAGCAGGACTCTTCCCTTTGGACATGTTGCTCTCCATGTACAGAACATAAGGGGAGAGATGGAAGAGGCTAGTCACTCCTCTCCGTGCATGGTGCTGAGAACCAGGTAAGTAAGCCCAAGGAGGGCTTTAGAGTACAACATGAAATAGACTGAGGAAGTGGCTTTTAGAAAAGGTTTGAAGTGGAAATATATGCTGGTGAGTGGGTGTGAGGGGTGAAAACAGTATCAGTTAAGTCTATTGTACATTATATAGTGATATACTTACCATTTAATGCAAAAGAGGTTCTTAATGATACTATGAATATGTTTAAAATATCCTACTTCAAAGTTTTTTTTCTTGGTCTGGTCTTGTGCTATATCATACTATAACAGGCATAAATATTGTAGTAAGGGTTTCCATTGTTCTTGTTGAAAGAAGTGCTCTTGAGGCTAGGCTGCAATAGTCAAGAATGAAGCAGGTGTTTCTGAAGATAACATAGCAATAGCAGCAGCTAGATTCTACACTTGAAATCTTGGTAATCAATATCTCCTCCTTCATTTTCATGTTAACATTGTCAAATATAGATTTAAAAAGTAGATTTCACTCTGGAATGTCGTTGAACCATAACACCGTATTATCTTTGGTTCTGATAAAGTTTCTTTGCCCAATACAAAGTATTATTAAAATAATAATAAGGCTGTCAAAATACTACAGGCCAATAACCAGTGGCTCTGTACAACTGCGCTGGGTCTTAAATCATGTCCCCCCCCCAGGAAAAGTGCTGCAATAAAGCATAACATTAAAAAGCATAACATTAAAAAAGCTTGTTAATGTGGACTCAGAACTGCTTTTTTTCCTCTGGGGAGTTGGTTGTAATTGGTCACTTCTCTTGATTTAAATGCAGGGGGAACTGCCTGTGTAGACTTTTATTCCTTAGCTTAATGATCTGGGATGTGCAGTGTTTTGTCTTTGTGCACAGCCCACAGTCTTGACCATTTTCAGTAACATGGAAGACTAGAGGCCCTGTTGGTGTTGGTGTAAGGTTTTCTTAACTTTATTTCTTAACTTAAATTGCAATAGATGGATGAGCTGCTGGAGTGCATGTCAGGCATGTGCCTGGACAAATCTTTGTTGTGGAACTGAGATGCACCCATATCAATTTCCCACAATTAGCCATGGCACGTTATGCAGACTTTTCTAAAACAGCCGTCATTTCCTGTTTCGTACACTTACTACCTTCAGAACAAGTCAGAAGTGGTATGGAATATTTATAGGATATAGCATCTGTTGCTGTGGTATAATAGTACATTGAATTAAAAGGGAAGGGGTAGAGAGGATCAGAGTTACATGTATGAAAGAGAGATTGAGGCTAAATCCAGTTTTTTTTAAATTAAGGCTTTTAAGGTATTTTCCAGCCCTACATCTTCATAATGTTAGCAAGATGAGATCTGTATTCTTTGAGCCACCTCTCCATCTTGGCTCCCCTGATTTGCCATCCCTTCTCTTCCAGAGATTTGTACCTGTGGAATTAGCACAGGAACTGAAAGTGGATCTGACCATGCTATCATTTATATTCACTTTGTTGAGTGTACAGCCTAGCTGTGCAGACTCCCACCCTGTTGTGGGAGGAAAACAAAAGTTTGGAATTTTGTGTCAAATAACAGCACAAGACAACAAATGGGCATCATGAGGAAGTGGCATCTTAAAGATCAGGAGTTACCACAAGGTGGGTAACAATACTTCTTACCACCTACTATGTGCTCTTAGTATCTGTCAGATTTTTAGAAACTATCTTAGTGAAGATAGGTTCAAGAATCACTAAAAAGATCACATACGCTTTCTTCAAAACTGTATGGTACACATCACTCGAGAGCCTACTCAAAATTGTTGTGACTCGTGGAGTTGCTAGAGCAGGGGTGATCAATTGTGACCTTCCAGGCATTTTTGTATGCAATTTGTATAGTTTCTCATCACTGGCTCGGCTCCCAGGACTGATAGGAGTTATAGGCCAGAAAGATATGGATTGCCACAGTTGCTCACCTCTGTTCTAGACCTTTTATGTGAAGCAGATCAGGCCAGTGACTTGTAGAGTATTGATAAATAGGACCTGATTTGATCTTTTACAATACAGTAGTATGTTCCAACATAGGTCTGTATCATGTCATTTGCCTTTATAAAGGTTCTGTAGGTATAGTGTGTCCAGAACTGAATGAGCCCTGTCTTCTCCCTGCAGTGGAAATCAGAATATAGCTTCTGCCCTTCAACTCATGTCAGGCCTCATGGAGGTGTCAGCAAAGGTTAACATGCTACCATTATGTCAGATGATGTGTTAGCTTTCCATTTCAAAAGGCAGAGAGGCCCATAAAGCAGAAGTATTGTCATGCACAGTGTCATATGACAGTGGCCAGCTGTGGCTTCCTTTGTGTCTGCAGCACTACCCTTGTGCTCAATTCCTTTAAAACAGAAGGAAACACTGAGTTTGGTATACATGAAGTTCAGCTTCTGCTTTAGCAGAAGGAGCAAGCATTATGTGAAGCTATGGCAATACTGCATTATGAGAAAGCTATGGCAATACTGCATCATGTTCAGCCCTCTCCCACCAGGTGCCCTTCAGATCTTTTGGATCTACAGATTTCAGCATTACTGAGCATGGGGCATCTGACTGGTACTGATGTGAATTGAAAATATAAAACATCTTTTGGAGAATACCGTGTTGGGAAAAGCTGGCTAATACTTGCCTGAGAAACATTGGTAGTTGCCATAGAAGTGACATGTTAAGTCATGTTCAGCCCTCTCCCACCAGGTGCCCTTCAGATCTTTTGGATCTACAGATTTCAGCATTACTGAGCATGGGGCATCTGACTGGTACTGATGTGAATTGAAAATATAAAACATCTTTTGGAGAATACCGTGTTGGGAAAAGCTGGCTAATACTTGCCTGAGAAACATTGGTAGTTGCCATAGAAGTGACATGTTAAGGTATATATATGTATATATATATATATATATCAAAAATGGAATTTCCAGTGTTGTATGTATGGCCAGAAGGTTACTGGTGATCTGTTGGATAAGTATTTTACATAGGCTCTGAGTGACTGTATGTGGGACAGGAGAAATGAGATGGTTCTGCAGAAGTGCAGATGGTAATAGAAAATTAAGTACAATATTCTGTCTCCAAAAAGATTTATCTTTAAATATAAATGATGGCTCCAGTCAATGTATGAACTAGTTTAAATTCTTTCTAATTTCTTAATGCATTCATTTCCTGCCAAATGTACCTATTGGTTGTAGTGATGATTTATATGTAAAAATATGGTACCTAACAGTGTAATCCATAGCCATCGTTCTTATACCCCGTGAATCTTTTCCTCTGTAGTGTCACGACTCACAACCTTTACAGCAGTGGTGGGGACTTTGTTGTCTGCATGCACTCTGAGTATTTTTATTTATTTATTTATTTGTTACATTTCAGTTCCTCTTTCCACTAGATTTGGTGGTGTGCATTGGTATCACCTCTTCCCAGACACACACTTCTGGATTAGAGGAGGACCTGGGGAAAATGTGTCTTATTTTTAAAAAGAGATAATGCTCCCCAGCACCCTTTAGAAGCAAAAAGAGCAATGATGAAACTAATAGGAACTTGTTTGAAGATTAAGTATATAGAGTGTGTCTGGGTAGAACAGTGTTTCCCCTGTGCAATGATAAATATATCTGTCTTATGTATATTCTGATCTTGCGAGGTAAGCATATAGAACTTTCGTAGTTTGACAGCATAAAATAGAAGTGTAGGATCACCCATATGGGGTTGACAATGATCCTGCTGCAATATATAATGCTGCCTGCTAAAATGTAGTGTTTTTAATGACTTCCCAGTACTTTGGTCCAGAAAAACTCTACAATATAAAACACATGGCCATTTGTGTTATCTTTATAATGCTTAACCTTAGTGGTCAACATTTTCTGTGCAACTTGTTCTTTACATACAAAAGTGGTCTTTAATTCAAGAAGAATCATGGATTCAGCTTGATATAAGTGTAGGGTTTGAAAGGTTTTATCTGAACTAAATTCAGATTCCATGCTAATACTAGATCTGTCAATAGACTAATTGTATTGGGATCAGCTGAAAGATTGCAAAGATCAGTTTGCAGCCCTAGATATTAAATAA